CACCATTCGGGACATAATTGAGGCCGGCTAGATCAGTCATGATCGCAGCCGATACAAGTACAAGTAAGTAACTATAAGTATAAGGTTAACGTGTCATTTTCAGCAAACCCAAAACATACCTTTTTTACCTTGGATAGGACAACAACAAAATGGTCTTCAATGTTTTACAGACTTCTTTGAGTATATTTTAGCAAATCTTCACGTTGAAGCCTACCTTTAGTAACTAAGTTTAGGTTTTGTCCGAGACTCAATGAAATGACTGATTGTCCTGACCAGTACTCTTAAGTTCCTAGGACCTCTTGGAGGTATATCGCTAGTTTGCTAGAGAGTGGGTTAGATCATATAAAGGCAAGGAAGTTTTTTTCGACACAAACTTCTTACTTGAGAAGAACGTAGCTTCAGCGATAGATGGGCCCTCACCGATTGCATTGCGGGTATGGCCATTCCAGTTTTTCTGGTCATTGTGAGTAGCGTTCTTCCGCTACTGGTGCTGCTGGTGAGGCTCGAGTGTGAACCCCAAGACAGAGTGGGACGAGTAAGTTGGTTTAGTAGTCGGTGATTGTTCATCAAGGAATGCCAATAGTGCCAATCGAGTCTGGTTCGTAACGCGGTGAGCGAGCACTCCACTTCTACTGTCAGTAAGGCCTGTGCATCAGTGATTAGGGTGCTGGACTTCTAATTTGCAGGTCACGCGTTCAAACCCCAAGGAGGGCACCAACTGGGGTTTGGTATACCTGCCTAGGCCAGAAATGGCCAGTCCCGTCTACACTGTGTCTGTCGTTAAGGTTCTTCTGCGTTTAGTGTGAATTCATTTAGCCAAAAATACACGGGGAATTCTGTGTAAAAAGTATGAGGCGACGAGCCTGTATACTGTGCACAAATTGCCATAAGAGGATATGTGAAGAGGACCATAGGCTTCGCCAAACTATTTATTGAATTTTGGATGTATTGTTCAATTTTGGCTTGAAAGTCTCCTCACGTATGCACAGAAAGCCAGTTACCTTAAAAATTCCTGCAGATCTCACAGTCCAAAAATATGGCCGAAGAAAAGTGCAGAATAAGCATCCTGGTTGACTCTAACAGGAAAAACTTCGAATGGACGCCGATATATTAGAGTGAAAAAATGAAATACAATGTGATAAGATCGTACTTAATTCATCATTGTGAGGCTGTGTGGCCGGCTTTGCTCTGAACTGGGAGATAAAGTTTGAATTCAGCTGGCAACTCATCTTCAGAGTAGAGTCGATCGCAAAAGTATACTCTCCGTATCCGGCAATTCGCGTGAATCTGTGATAGAAAGAAATTTTGCCGACCTATTTTACTGCAGAAAGATACAGCACGTAGACATAATACTACCAATGACATATTAATTGCACCTTGGATGAAGATATTGGATGCGGACTACTTGTGGCAAGCGGTGAGAAGAAGATTAGTGCGACTGAAACTTCGGTAACCAGGCTATGTTCACGTTTTTCTTTAGTATGCGTACTTATTAACAGTTTTCCCTCCCTCTATTTACCATTTTAAGGTGACTCAAGGTCAAAAGCGTCTATTAAAAGACTAAGTTGTATAAAGCAGCTGATTTTAACTGAAAAAAACACAGATTATCACAATGTTAACCTTTTAAACGCTACTTACATATCTGTGCATACAGCGGAGCCTTGGGTGACGAACAGCCCGACCTACGAGCATTTCTGGTAACGAGCAAGCCCCTAGCAGAAAAAATAGTTTCGACTGACGAGCTTCCGTTCAGTTAACGAGTTGTCAGTGCGTATATGTGTGCTTGTGTCCACCGTTAAGTCTTGCTCCAGGATGCGGGTCGTCGATCGGCTTCAGTTGGCCGGTGAACTGATGCAGTTTGATTGTCTACGTTTCGCAAGACGAATGTTGAACATGACGAGCTCGGTGCCGGAACGGATTAAACTCGTTAACCGAGATTCCACAGTATATCCACCTTTCTCTTTTAAACATTTTTATCCTGCTTAAGACTTAATCGACTATGAGCCGCTAGATTACCATCCGTTTACTTTTTGTTTGGACAAAGCCTGTATAGTGCGTGAACAAATGATAAGAATACTTTTTTACGCATGGAATTGTCAGTGATGGTGCTCAAAACCATTTCTACTGGCAGTAGGAATAGAACACTATCTACGAAACATACCCACAAAATCACAACATAACAGGCACCCTAAGTTAAAAGATAGTGATTCATGTATTTTCTGTTGTGATTTGAAATTCTACTTTTGACCTAAGTCAACACAAGTTCATTCGACACGATAAATTTTAACCCATGACCGGTTTCAACCATATGGACTGATTTGGCTTGCAATGATCGAAGTAGAAAAGAGGTCACAAAAGGAAGCCTGGAATTACGATTTACATCCCGTTTCGTAACGAGTAGGCTTACTTTGAGAAGGCAAAACAATTTGTTACAAATAAAAACTGTAGTTTGTAAAGAGTATTAAGACATATTTCTAGATATGCGAATGTAAAAAAGTTTTTTGTGTGCACAGTAACTACTGTATATGTCAGTTTTCATCAAAGATTGCTTGTGATAAAACACTGTTTCACACAACAAACATGATTTCGGAACTCAGCTTGAAAAAAGTGGAGGGTAGGAAAGGCTAGTACATATAATTTAGCTGGTTCAGTCAAAATAAAAACCACGAGGTTTGAAGAAAGTAAAATAAGCACTAAGTGGCACAAATTGCGGAGCAAATATAGACCATTTATAGGCCGGAGATGTAAATGTAACTCTTAAACTGAATCTATAGGTGGTAATAAAGTACACATATTTTTGCGCCATAAATGGGGTAATACGCATCGATTTAGACTGATTCCCGCTGTATTCAATAACTATAAAATGAGCTTAAAACAAAAAGTCGAAAATAACTTAATATCGCCTGAAAGCTACCAGCTTTAAATATAATGAGGGTCAGACAAATGCTTTATAATTAATTAAGTACGAAATCAAAAGTGAAATGAAATTATTGTCGCGAAATTTTCATCTGCAGTTAAGTGGTGTTTAGAGCTTAGTGCTCTACAGATCTTAACCGATAGCAGACAGAACAAATGAAAATTTTTTTAAAAAACGTTTTGACTTCGCATATACGATCCAATGGTTACCCGTGAGCTAACCTGTCTCTCCGTATCCATCCAAAAGTCTGACCCTGGGTAAATAATTGGCATATATATAAATAATTAATTCGCATACACCAACCCTTCGTTAAGCAGATAAGTACACATACGTGTACTAAACTAGCCACCTGATAGACTGCATTTTTTCCCAGTCGCTCAATCGGTATTACGACTCGCACGTGTCTAGGAAAGAAAGCATTGGTGGATGCACACAGCAAAGGAAAACATGGGTTGAAGTTTAAGTGAATAAACAAAAAAAGATATCGTACCTGAACACGTAGGGTTTCCAAGTAGTTTGTTCCATAAGCCCTTTTGGTGAAGTCAGCTAAATTGAATTGAATTTGATTCCACCCTTCGTCTAAACGCATTGGCATTGTGCAGATGAAGGGTTTGACCCTCGTTGTACTCTGGTAGTTACTTGCTCGAAATCGCCGTTTCACTTGTTTATCATCAAGTACCTACAGAAATAAAATTAGGATTTCTTCCTACCTGAACCTCGAATGTAAAGTACTTTTTTAGATTTTTCACAATCATTACAAGAAATGGAAGTTTAATGCCGAGCGTCTTCTTCCGATCATTCGGACAAGATATAAAGGTTGTACTAGGATTTTGCTATTTTATTTTTCGAATAGACACTACCTCACATTCGTGCCCATGACTTCAAGAACAAGCGATTGAATGTCGTTATCGGTTATTCTTTTTATGTGACCATTTTGAACCTTCATTTAATTTTTAAATGAAAGGAAACTGTACATTTTTATCCCATATCTGCAATGGCTTACTACCAATACTGAACAAAACTGAAAGAAATCCACTTTGGAACGTGTTTTTGAACATTGTCCTTCAAGTTATGGCGAGGAAAATAATCATGTGCTTATTGGAGAACTATGTTACTAAGGTCACGACGACCACGACAACGTTACGTCCTTGAAATGCTTGGTAAATTAAAACAACATAAGTGTGGTATGAGTTTTTCTCTTAAAAAGATAAGAAATAACAGAAAATTTGATCCCTCAAAAGATGGCTCGTTCTGAGTAGGCTAGTGACACCTGTTTGCACCTGCAGAATTCAGGGTTTCAACGTCTTTTTTAGGTTAGCTCTCACTATAGTGTCGTTGAGCCGGGGATTTCGGGAATTGCAGCAAACAGAATCTGTGGGCTACATTAAAATAACTGACAACTATAAAACATTAAGGAAAGAATAACAAATAGCAGAAATGAAGCCGAAGTCAGACGAAGAATGATCATAGCCCTCCAGAAGTGCGAGTTAAACAAACGCCCATGAATGTGAAAATTAGGAGTTAGTTATGGATGTAATAACTTGAAGTTTTGGAACCGGCCATACGCCCTCGTCGAGCATTTACTTAACGGGATAACAGCGCGTGCACTCACTCTTCCAGATCATTATATACGCAAAGTTTCGTTCGAACAGTTTAGCTGGAACCTTTTTTGTTTGCGTTTCACCTAACCTTTTGCCATTTTACGCCACGTTTTTCCATCACGTAGTTGGGTGCTTTGGGTTGTTTCCTACGATTGGAGCAACTGAAACTCCTAAATGTCGGGATCCTCGTCCTAGATTTACCAGTTCTATGGTTCGAACAACACTCTTATCCCTGCTTTTGAAGGGTCTCTTTATAATGTTTCACATGATTGGCGTCCAAAAGTTCAATACGTGGGAGAATGACCTTGCACTTTTAGATAAGAAATTATACCTATATTAAGACCAGTCTTAATAAGATGTACGTTAGACGTAACCTGGAATACAGTTCGTTTCTGTTTAGCCTTGTGCTTGCTACTGATGAAAAAAACAGAATCAGTTCGGCGTTTCTTAACTAATGGAGTTTTCTCTTCAGAACACCGTAACCTAGCCTACCAACAACACTCTGAGTTTACTTGACTTGATCCGTTGAGGCTTAGCAAATAACAGGTGGACTATTTGTACGGTTTAACCTTTGAAACAGTCGTATCTTTAATCCTATACCTACTCTGAGCCAACTTGTCCAATTTCGGCGCAAGTACCACCGAAATATCTTTTTATTTCCTCCTCCAGCATGCGCGGTTAGATATCGCCAGTTTTTTAGAAAAGCAATCCTTCGAGAAGAAGATGACTCGATCGCTGGAACAATATGTTTACTCGCCTGACGTTTCGACCTCCGTCGCCGATCCATAATCAGAGACGTAATCACAGAACAGCAGGAGATACAGGTAGTTTTCTTTTCAATTACTTTCTGGGACTCGCATGTTCGCTTGTATTGGCAAGATTTCCTTCGTTTAAGAGTGCCATTACTCGTTTTCTACATTCAGGACAATTTTCAAGAATTTTGGAAGCTCAGTTGGTGGAATATTTCTTCCGCTTTGACGGGGTTTGCAGACTCTGGAGCCTGTGCCAGGCATCATGCTTAGAGCGATATTGCTGACTCTACAGTGCGCAGTCGGCTAATTCTTCAACAGACAGCGAGGGACCATTCGTAGACACACCTTCTTCTGATGCAGAATATCGGACCCATATACTGAAGGCATATTGACCACATCGTGCACCTATGTCAAGCCCTCCCCGTACCAAACTTCAATCATTCATTGAGGACCAGTTTGTCTCCTGAAAAACACTAGAAAGATTGAGTAGGACTTTTCTTTATTGTAAGCTCGATTCTTTATTTTATATCTCATTTGACATTGTCTGCAAATTGGCAATAAATAAATAAAACTTATGTACTATATGCTAAGAACTTCCGAAGATGATCGTTTATTGTAGCTCAGGTCATAAATAAGGGCAAGCTATTGATACCACTAATGATAGGGACACGTCTTAATTTTCCATAAAATATCCTCTGCTGCGTTTTCAATGTCTTTGAAGGAGTGGATATGCCCTCTTAAATGGCGATTAAGCTGATTGAGTGCCACAGAATCAAAGACTGCATATTATCCTCAGATCCTGTTCATATAACCTTTGTAAATGCTCACGAATGAGGCAGCCAGATTCACAGGCTTTAGGAAACGATTTTAATATTTCTTCGATGGAAGTAACCAACTGATTTCAGAATTTCCAGCTGTGCCGAAATTGCAGTAAAATATGTTTTCGTAAACTGACGCTGCATACAGAAACATCTTTACGTGAAAGTGGGTCTTTTGAACATTCTCTATAAGGTTTTAGTTGTAAACTCCCCAGGGAACGTTTCCTTTGATGACAACATCATTCTATATCCAGCTTGAATACGTGCTGACATTTTTAGTGATGTTGTAGCATCTAACGACAGTTTCTGGCAGTCGTTGATAAACATGAGAGAGATATCTGTCTTGTACAGGCCCCACAGGAACAGGTCTATAAATAGAGAAAAAATTGACTTTGCGACTCTAAGAGGATTTGGCAAGGCCCTGTGTTCTCTATAACAAAATGACCTAGCTGAATGCCTTTTCAACAAGGCCCAGTCCTATTAAAAATGCAGTTCTATACTTGCCGTTCATAATATAGACACATGAAAGGTTTACGGAGGGTGTTTTATATCAAAGTTTAGTGCTGCGATACATATAAATTTAAATAATGAATTAACGTTCGTCGGTGGCCGGAGTAGTCATGTGGTGACAGTCTTATTATGTCATAAAGTAAACAGGCCAACTGCCGTTTATACGAATCATTATACCGCTCTTCTCTTGATCACACTGATCTTTGAGCAGACTAAGAAGCTCTCCGAAGAAAAGCAGATAGGCGATGAGGCCAACTTCGCTGCAAACCCTTCCCTACATGTTGCGAAACTCTTTTCGCGCACAGTCAAAGCGCAAATGAAAGCGCAACACCCCATACTTCAAGACGTCTTAGGAAACCTCATAGCTGACGCTAAGTTGACCGCCGATAGTTTCAATGCGTTCCTATCCAAAACGTTTAGCAAAAACTCGTTCGCCGCACTTCCGGCTATCCGGACTTGC